TCACAACCTGGCTATCTAGGTACCCTATTTGACACCTGCTTGGATCGCCAGTCGCTTTTTCCTTCTTTTTTTTCTCCCCCATGCACTCCTGAAACCTAAAAAACACATGCTCGCAACAGGGACCGAGAAATAAAAGGGCGAACAAAATTCGCACCTCGGCTATCTAGGTCTCCGATATTTTGACCCAAGTGCCGCATTGAGGATTTGGTCCTGCCGGCTGGGCCGCTCTCAATTTGCAGCTTCTGCGAGCCAGGTGGACGAGCGTCTCCGTTTCGTGGCGAGTGACCGTTTTGCCGCCCAACGGTCCGCGGCTCGCATGGCCTGGGAATCAATCCTCCGGTTCCTTAGGCTTTCAGAGATTTTTAGGTGGTTTAGCAGGGCTCCTTAAAAGAAATCCTTTTTGCCCGACCATTTGAAACATGTGGCTTTTTCAACACCAAGATAAAGGGAAACCACCATTCACAAGTTGCAATGTTCAGGTGTAAAATGTAAGGATCCCTGTTTAGTTGTAGCTTCTGGGGGAGAATCTTGGCAGGGTTGTAGTGTTAGTGGTAGTTTCTTGGTTTAGGTGTTTAGGGTTTTTAGGGCTTTTTAGGGTTTAACCCACGAGAGTTAGATTTTTTAGCAGAGGACGTGCAAACCAAGTTGAGGGGGGGGGGTTGTCACGGAGGTTACACTATGAACCTGCCATATCCGATTGCCCCTTTTAGTACCACACGCCGAGCATATAATATATATATATATATAGTTTCAAGCATACCTGAGGATGTGGGCACACGCACAAGACCTCTTGAGTTTCTATATCCACAGCAAGTTTTCCAGGAGGAACATCCAAGCTTGTCAATTACACTACCCAAGCTCAATCCAAATTGGCCTCGCATGGCGGGAAGTACTCAGTGGCCAATGGGCTGAGGAAACTGGCAACGCAGCGCTTTGTGGGGGTTCACGGGTCGGAAGGTGAGTGGACTATCGAGTTTCTCGGGTGTGTGCTCAGTCACGGACCGTACCCTGCAAATGCAGGAGCCATAAGCACGCATCTCCTGAAAGGAAGCGTGCGTGTGGTTTCGTAGGCGTCGGGTGACGGGTGCCCACTTGATGACATGCCACGGGTATGAGTTTTCAATTATTTGGCGGACAATCATTTCGGTGGGGATTCATGTCCACCAACCACTTTTCAGGGGGGGTTCCCCATTAAAGTTCATAGCCACATGGCCAAGAATCCTGCGGCATGTCCTTTGTGGGCACCCGCATTTTCTGACGAAACCCGGCAACCGGTTGTTCAACGAGCCAGCCGCCGGCTGAACGGTTGCCGAGCAAGTTCTCCGAGGCCGGTGCGTGAACTGGGTCTGTTTTTTGTTTTGTGGGTACCCGTTAAGACAGGGGGGGGGTTTAAGGGCTAGGTCCCCAGTGCCCTTTTACCAACTTTTTGGTGGGGGGGGAACTAAAATGGACTACAGAAAAAAGGGTGCCCTTATTCTAACCTCTCTACTGGAGGACCTAGAGGGAAACCAGGGAAACAAGAAGCCATCTGGGATCTGGGGGTGGTCCCCCAAAAGACAGACCCAGCCGCTGCAGGGTGTGCCAAGTTTGTGAGTAGAGCGCCCAAGAGTTCGCACGGTAGCGACCAACTCACTCACTGAATCGGACATCCAGGTCGTCTTTGTCCAGGTGCCCAGCTCCGGTCGGCAACAGTTCCAACGAGCTCGTCTCTGACTTGGATGGTCGGAATCATGACCCCTAGTCATCTGCCTACTCATACTGCTTTAGGCGAAGACCTGGCTTGCCAGGGCCAGGGCAGGTACCCATCCCTTTTTCTGGTACAACATTGACATCACAACTGAACAACCTGAAGGGGTCTGGTGTGTGCCCCGGGGCCCCAATTCGACTGATTGAGTAGAGCCAGGGTTTGTGACCCCGGAAACACACCCCCGAAGTGTCCAATGCTTCCTGGTGGATCTTGCGGTGCCAAGGGATCCGGATCGCGGGCGAGAAGTTGAATACGTTTCGGCAGCTTTTGAAAGACCAACAAGTCCGCTTCGAGAAATTTTGGACCCTCAAAACGGGTTGTGCGCTTGAGGGCCCTTTGGAGGGTCCAGGGTTCTGCATTGGAGGGGCCATGACACTTAGGGTATGAGAAATGTCTCGTTCAACATCTGGCACTGGGCTGTGAGGGGCCTTAAAAAACTCCTCCAATACTTGCCGGAGGGGGGAGGGTTCCCTGAAACATCAACCTCCGCGGGTCCCCTTGAAAAGTTTCTACTTGCAATTGAGAAATTCGCCAAGTTACAAACTTGTAGGCTATAGCCCACGTATACTCCCAGTCATTAGTGGGTTATGTCCCAGGCCCAGCTGGCAAACCACGTACTAACTTGGCCGAACATCCAAGCACTAAAGCGGGTCGCCTTCCCCCCCCGCGCTCCGAAATAGGTATTTTCAAGTTTGTTTCCCAGGCCCTCAACCTACCCATTAAACAAGTTGGAATTCACCCACCCTAATTGTGGGGCTCTCTGACCCCATTTTCAAGTTGCCCCGTCTTCAGAACCACCAAAAAAGTGTTCTTCAGCATCCGAAGCCTGCGAAGCCGTGTGCTTCTCTCCTTCTTTCGCCGACCGGAAGCTTCGACCTGAGAAATCGCCTGCTCCGGGGCTGAATTTCTGCGACGCCTCCGTCTCCAAAGGCCCAAAACCATTCGATTCCCTGTGGTTCTACTTGACCTTTGTTGGGTCATGGTTCCATTTGTCAAGGGTGCCATTTTGGTACATGTTTTTGATCCACAGCCATATATGAGTTAGCATCAAAATTACCGTCATTTACTTTATGTAGGAGTGTTTCATGCACGTGTTGTTTTTGTGTGTTTCTCGGGAAAAAACAAAAAGAAAAACGATACGGGACGTCCAAAAAAACGATACCCCAAAACCTGAGAACAGAACATGAAAAACGATACGGGACGTCCCAACGTCGGAATGAATACACCCCAAGCAAGCAATTTTGACGCTGGCTCATATACCCAATACCTCAGAGCATCAAAAGTCAATGAGAGTACCGAGTGCTCGGATTTGCTTGTTTGCAGGCAAATCGACCGGATCTATAACCTTTTACTTCCTTTGGGCAAGTGGGTATGTCTTCTTTTTATGGGCTAGGTCCCCCAGTAGAGCCCTTTTCCCCTTTTTTTGGGGGAGGGTTCCCCTAAAATAGACTACAGAAAAAGGGTACCCGGTAGTCTAACCTCTCTACTGGAGGACCTGCTTCCCTTTAAATTCACAACACGAAGGGCACCATTGTGTTCAGCTCATTTGTTTTGTGGAGCCAGTTCAACACCGGGCAGCTTCCAAGTCCGACGCGATTTTACATCCGCCGGGGAAAAGACGAGCGGAGATGACTTGGGTCGGGGGTAGTTGCTTGGGGTTCGAGGGCGGTCAAGCTCGTGCTTTTGTCCAACCGGCTTCAGGTCATTTTCGATTGGCTTTTGTTTTTCTTCGGGGTATTCTGGCGGCAGAAAAATACCATAGCAAACCCTTAGTTGGTGGTTGGTGTGAACCCCAGGTCCTTCGAACAGAAGCCGGTCTTTGTTTCAAACCAGCGTTGCTCGGTTCTGGCGACTTTGCCCCGAGGTTTTCTTGACACGAAGGCCGTTTGGCCCGTTGGGGCCCCGTCTTTCCAAGCTCCATGCCCGGTTTTTTGTTGGCAGATTTGGGTTGTCTCGCCCACGATCCTGGGGGTTTGGAAGTTTGGTTGCAACCAGAGGTGTCCTTCTCAGGTTAGCTTGATGAAACAGATGGACTTTATGAACCATGCACCAACAAAACCCCCATCCATTTTTTAACAGGCCAGGCATTTTGGTTGCACCCCCCTTGGAAGCTTTCTGGCTTGGAAAGAAGGGAAGCTCAAAGGGCACAACACACACCCGCTGAATCAGCCCTGAAAAGCCCATGTTCATTGCGGAATCAAGGAGTCTTTGATTGAAATTTGCCCAGGTCCCGAAATTTGGGTATTGGTCAAAATGAATTCACCAGGAATTGGACCGCAGGTTAAATCATCCTTGTTTCCCATTTATCGGGGCAAGCCATTTTGGGGTTACCCTATTTTTGACCCACACCCATTTACTCCAGCTATCCCCAGTCCCGCCTCCCGCCCAACCCCTCGGTTCTCTCCGGAACACCAAAGCTCCAAACCAGAGCCTATCTGAGAGGCCCATGTGGGGGGGAAACCGATGTGCGTCCAGAGGGTGCCTGGAAAGGTAATTTTGAGGGTGCCTTTTATTTTGAGTTGGTCACCAAGAAGCGCCCCCATGGGAGAAATTTCCCACCTCACCTTCAAAACCGCACACCATGGTTGAATTTACAGGGCCTTTCTGGTTCCTTTGCAGCTGTTAGGGCATCCACCTTGATCAGAAAGGTCCTTTACATGGGATGACCATTGGTAGAAATCCACTAAACAAATGATATTTCGACCACATGGGAAAAATTCGCCATCTTTTGTTTCTTTCCGCGGAATACTGTTAACCCCGGATTAACAAACCCCTGGTTGATTTTCATCGGGGGGTGTCCCCTTTTAGTGGGGATTCATCACTTTTGGAGGGAACACCTCCCTAGTGGGACGGGTATAACAAATCCTGGGTCAACATTATTGATCACCCCCCACCTGGGAATGTGTGGGGTGTGGGAAGGTGGGCGGGGAAGGTGTGGGGCCGGTGGGAGAATTCCCGATTTCCTATCATGACGCCCACAAAGGGTGAATTCGCCTGCAAAAAGTCGGGTTCATACATATTATGGCAAACACAACCTCCTGGAGTTGCGCTCAGGTATCCTGCAGTTGGTGGTTTGAACCCCGAAGAGTACTCCCAACTTGCTGGTGCAAGAAGTAAGAAATGTGGGAATGAACCCAGGGGTCCAAGGAAACCGCCAGTTGGATGGTCTATAATCATTCATTCCCCGGCTAAGCATCAGCAAGCTTGGAACCCCTGCCTCGGGTGTCTCGCGCCGACGCGCGTCGTGCGCCAGGCAGCCCGGAGCCGCGCCGGCGTCACCTCCACGCGGGCGCGACGAGCGGTTTTTCGGTTGGCCGGGGGGGGGGTCTGTGGCTTTCTTGCGACGTTGTCGCCTCTAGGCGAGTCGTTCCCTCCTCCAAAGAAAAAGGCAGACAGAAAGAAAGGAAGAAAGAAAGAAAGAAAGAAAGAAACAAAAGAAAGAAAGAAAGAAAGAAAGAAAGAAAGAAAGAAAGAAAGAAGGAAATAAGGAAATAAGGAAAGAAGGAAAGAAGGAAAGAAGGAAAGAAGGAAGGAAAGAAGGAAAGGAAGGAAGCAAGCAAAGAAGGAAAGAAGGAAAGAAGGAAAGAAGGAAGGAAGGAAGGAAGGAAGGAAGGAAGGAAGGAAGGAAGGAAGGAAGGAAGGAAGGAAGGAAGGAAGGAAATGAAAGAAAGAAAGAAAGAAAGAAAGAAAAAAAGAAAGAAAGAAAGAAAAAAAGAAAGAAAGAAAGAAAGAAAGAAAGAAAGAAAGAAAGAAAGAAAGAAAGAAAGAAAGAAAGAACGAAAGAAAGAAAGAAAGAAAGAAAGGAAGAAGGAAATAAGGAAATAAGGAAAGAAGGAAAGAAGGAAAGAAGGAAGGAAAGAAGGAAGGAAAGAAGGAAAGGAAGGAAGGAAGGAAAGAAGGAAAGAAGGAAAGAAGGAAAGAAGGAAGGAAGGAAGGAAGGAAGGAAAGAAATAATGAAAGAAAGAAAGAAAGAAAGAAAGAAAGAAAGAAAAGAAAGAAAGAAAGAAAGAAAGAAAGAAAGAAAGAAAGAAAGAAAGAAAGAAAGAAAGAAAGAAAAGAAAGAAAGAAAGAAAGAAAGAACGAAAGAAAGAAAGAACGAAAGAAAGAAAGAAAGAAAGAAAGAAAGAAATAAAATAAATAAAGAAAGAAAGAAAGAAAGAAAGAAAGGAAGAAACGCAAACAAGGTGGGAGCTGGCTGCTTTGGCTTTTCCCCAGCAGCTGAAAGCTATGGATTTGGCCGATAGGCCCGGAAATCGGCTCGATGGGGCAGCTTTCAGAAGGTTCAAAGAGGACTGTCGGGGATACCACCTGGGCTTAGCTTTGTCTCCTTCCAATCATTAGGCCAAATAAAACACACGAAACAGGTACCGAAATCCTGGCGATTAAGAAACAAAAGTCAGGCAATCGGACCCGAAAGAACTGCCCATAAAACAAGGGGGGAATTGACCAACCATAGTCTTTGAATTGTTTGAGTTGGTGGGGAGTTGGAACCGTACCTTTTAAAGCCAAATGCGGAATGGGGTGGGCCATCCTTGTATTTTGGTGTTTTGGGGGCCATCCTTGTATCCTTTGTTCGGTAGCTTCGGGCTTAAAACGGCAAGGGAACTGCATGGTTCGGGACGTGTCACGGCCGAGAAATCGTCACGGCGAGCTCCGTTTGGGGCATGCCCTTCCTCGGGGAACCCCGAGCCATTCCCACCATTTTTGGGGAGAACCTCCTTTAAACCACGAGCCATGTGTGGAGATGTTTCCCTTTGAATGCGAAGCTATCAATGACTACCTAGAGTCCTCCTTCTGACCCTTTAAAAATGGTTGGTCCGACTCCCCAAAAATTGAAGGGGTCCTGACCCCTTTTTCTAAGGGTCAGAAGGAGACTCCAGGAAGTGGCGCCCCAGCTTCCATGGACACCTAGCCGGTGCTTTTGACTTATGCCTGGATAGCCAAGTTTCAGTTTGTTTCAGTCACTGTTGCTGGTTTTTGGGGTAAAGTGGATGGAAAAGAGCAGCAACTGGCGATCCAGCTGGACTGTTGTTGAGCATGTGTGGCATGTCGGCCCCGACCTGCGAACAGGTTTTTGTGTTCCGTGTTCCCAGACGCCTTTAGTTCGATGGATTTAGGGCCCTCAAGCTAGCCGCCAGGTTTTTGAGACCAACCACCGGAGTGGGGTATGCTTTAGGGTGTGGGGGGTCTTCCATTTTCAAGTTCCAGGTAGCACTTCAGGCAACCCTTCAGCTTGGGGATTGGAACCTCTTCTGTTGTCGAAGCTCAAGGGGTAGGCCCCGAATGGAATAGCACTCTGAAGGAGATCCGAGCTTCTAATTTCAACCACAAAAAAAACGGTTGCCGACAGTACCACCCGTTTGGTGGTTTTAAGTTTTGAGCATTTTGGTGAGGTGATGTTTCCAAGCGGAAAATATAGGGAGCCCTGGTTTCGAGGGCCCCAAATTCTTCGAGAACGAGGGTGGGTACAAACAAAGCTCAAAGTTTATGATCAAGGGAGGAACCTGAGTTGTAATATCATGTACCTCGACAAACTGCTTCCTCGGATGCTCGTTGCCGAGTTGCCCAGGTAACGTCTGGGTTGTCTCCACTTGAGGCTGAAAAAGCGTCTACCTACTGTCCTACTGTGGTTCCCAGCTGGTTGGTGGGTTATCACACTGTGGTTCACGCAATCCATAAAACGCACCACCGCTCAGAAACCCAAGGGAATGATTCGATTCCCCAAGGTAAATACCAACAAACCCATGGCATCATAGTGCGAAGCGGATGCTCGGCGAATCGAAGGCCGAGTTTTCAGGGTTCCGCTTGAGCAAGCCTTCTCGCCTGGGTCCATTGGGTTCAAAAAAACACACACAAAGATGTCGACCAACCAAAGGCTAGGTCACCTGACCCCCCCCCTCCCCCCCTTTTTGGTGGTTTTCAGGTTGCCTGGATCGCCAAGTTGCGATCGCTTTTTTCAGTCACTGTTGCGATAGGTTTTTGGGGTTTTGGGTGCATTGAAAAAAAAAAACAAAACGAAAACGCCACTGACGATCCAGGACCCCCCCTACTAATGGGACGAGTTCTACTTAGATGCCTGGGTCAACATGAATAGAAACAACCGGAGGGTTTTCAAGTTGGGAAGCCCAAAAAGGACAGCGATCCGTCGCCCCACTTTGGGCTTTGGGGGTGCGAGCGAGGCGGCCAGCCTGAATCTGGTGGACCTCGCTGGATCCGAGCGCCAGCAGGCTTCGTTCTGGGTTGGGACCAGACAGCGGGTGGGAGCCGATTTTTCTTTGGACACGAGTCGACCCTGAAAGAAAAGGTCGACCTGGACGCCTGGATGGCCAGTGGCGATGGGTTTTTTCCATGAACTTTTTTCCATGCACTCAAAACCGCAAAAACCAGCAGTGACTGAAAAAAGCGATGGCAACTGGGCTATCTAGGTAAGTCGTTTTTTCAGTTTCCGTAAGGGCCTGGGTCCGGGTCCGATTCGATTTATGGTCGGGCCCTCAAAATCCGCGACATGGGTGACGTTTTCTTTTGGGCCCTTGAGGAATTGCTCGGGGAGTTTGTTTGTGTTTTTTTCCAAACAACCTGACAAACCGCCACCACTGGCAACCCCAAGAGTTTTTGATTCGATTCATTTTCAGCCCGGAAGATTTTGAGGGCCCTTGAGGAATTGGTCAATGGAGGGAATGGAGGGGGCATGACCTTAGGGTTTTTCTTAGTGGTTGCCAGCCATCCGGTTCAACTTAGCTGTTTAGATCTTCTTTGTTTTTGTTTAGTGGTCGGGTTTCCGAATTTAACCCACTAAAAGTTGTCGACTTTTAGCAGGGGATCTGAGGACGGCCCAGGTTGTTTGTGGATTTTCCGCCAAACAACCTAAAACCCGAGAAACACTTGGCAAGGGCTGCTTTTTTTGGTCTAATTCGCCACCCTTTGCACGTGGAACCTGACGTTCGGGGGGTCCTGGTCTGGGCCATTTTCCTTTCAAAGGGACCGGGCCCCTGTCAGGCTCCTTTGGGGTGAAGGGTGGTAGCGTGCAAGGCCCCGTTGCAGGAGAAAAAAGGAAGGGCCTTGAGGGTGACCCTTCAGCCAAGAACTTTGAACATAATTTGAGCCAGAGCCACCGATCCAACCCTTTGCATGCTTGTTGTTGGGAAACATCCTGGATCGCCAGTTGCGATCGCTTTTTTCCATGCACTTTACCCCCAAAACCAGCAACAGTGACTGAAAGGAACAGCAACTTTGGCTATCTAGGATTTTACATTTTGCTTGTTGTGGTTTAGTGGCTGAAATCCAACCACTAAACTGCGAACGATATAATTTGTTTTTGCTCCCCTTCCAACGTCAACCGAGTTTAAAACGGGTTCTCGCAACCCACAATTCTGGTTGGTGAAGTCTGTTTCATGGGTAGTTACTTGGGGATCGATTCGCCTGTTGTGGACCGCAATTACTGGCGGCCCAGATATTTTTTGCGGCCGACAGGTGAGAGCACCTATTGAACCGGCAAGCTATTCACCTCCCAGAAACCACCAATTAAGGGGTACCTGGACCCTCAAACTAGAAGCGGAACTCGCTACACAAATCGAGCATTACTACATTTTAAAGGACACCCGGTGGATACTAAGTAATTGACCAGCTAGCCAAGCGCTGCTTTTTTTCAGTCACTGTTGCGATCGGTTTTTGGGGTAAAGTGTATGGACCAAAAAAAAACTGGCGCTCCAGGTGGGACGATTTTGAGGGTCCAGGTGCCGGATCCCCCGATCCCCCGATCCCATGGCCACCGATCCAATGGCCGCCAGCACGCCGGGGATCCCCGAGCGCAGACCTACGCCCGAAGGCTCAGATTCTTGAGCCAAGCGACCGGCACGGATTTCGCCTAATCATGGTTGTTGTTGGGAAACATTTTACATTTTTGCTTATTGTGGTTTAGTGGGAAATCCCCATATGGCTGTGGGTCAAAACCAATGGTACCTTTTTGGGGTAGGTGCACCGCCGATTTTAGTTGGGATTTTAGTGGGATCGGGATGTTCACTGGGGGCACGGGATTTTGACCCATGGCCATATGGCCATATGAATCAACCCCACCTGGATCGCCAGTTGCTGCTTTTTTCCATCCACTTTATCCCAAAGAACAGCAACAGAGACTGAAAAAAAACAGCAACTTCGCTATCTAGGCCTAAGGTTGACCCCATATTCATCAACCCACCTGGATCGCCAGTTGCTGCTTTTTCCATCCACTTTACCCCAAAGAACAGCAACAGAGACTGAACAAAACATCAACTTCGCTATCTAGGCCTAAGGTTGACCCCATATTCATCAACCCCACCTGGGTCGCCAGTTGCTGCTTTTTCCATCCACTTTACCCCAAAGAACAACAGAGACTGAAAAAAACAGCAACTTCGCTATCTAGGCCTAAGGTTGACCCCATATTCATCAACTCCACCTGGAACGCCAGTTGCTGCTTTTTCCATCGACTTTACCCCAAAAAACAGCAACAGTGACTAAGCAAGACGGCTTGGCAATCCAGGCAGTTTATTAATAGGGGGGTGTCCATGTCTGGGTTTAGTGGGGAATCGGACCACTTTTGGAGGGGAACCCCCCTTTTAATAAGCTGGGGTTGAATAATATGGGGTCAACATTACTTGGATGTTCGATTCGCCAAGTTTTTAATGCTGACCCCGGACCAGTCAACCCCTGTTTGTAATAGGGGGCTGGGTTTAGTGGGGAATCAGACCACTGTTGGAGGGGCCCCCGCCCCCATATGAACAAACAGGGGTTTATTCATCCGGGATCAGCATTCTGTGGCCACGCCACCTGGGTGGTAACCCGCTCATGGCTGACGGGGTTAACCCCATTGAGGAGGCTTACAAGTGTGCTATAACCTAGGTTACCAACAACTTCCACGTCGCCCGAGTGATTTCGAGCCCTCAAGATGGGTTTTTGAGGTTTGAGGAATGGGTCGGGAGAACCTCCGTAGGAGGGTCCGAGGGTCTGCATTGGAGGTGTCATGACCCTTAGGGTACAAAAGCTGTTTGGGTGTGTGTTAAAGTCGAGGGGACCCAAAAATGTGTGGTTTCCTTTGTGCCTTCTCTTCAAACCATCCAATAAGGGTACCCTTAAGACACGCCCGCTTATTGCTTATCTGGCAAACAGGATGGGGACGGAGCACTGGCTGGGGTCGGGGGCAATTGCTCTTGGAAAACGGGAGGCGACGAGGACGTCCGTGCATCGCTGAGAGGGCCAATTCAGATGACCCGTGTTGCTAGAACATGGTCTTAAAGCTTGCATTTGTTTTACATCTGAACAAGGCAGAGACTGCCCAAGATGATTCCACGATCCGGGACCAGAACCAAGGAGAAATGGAGCATATGGGCATGTCTAATAGGTAATGTTGACCCCGAATCAATCAACCCGTCCTGCTACTACGGGGTGTTTCCCGAACCCCCACACAAGGCCTCTGTTAATCAACCAGGGGTTCATTAATTTGTGAACATTATCCTCAATTTCTTCAGGCAGAACCGTGCCCAGTCTTGGATGTAAAAGGTAGACGTGGCGCTGGGAAGACGTGGACGGAAAAACATCCCTACCCCCCACTCCAAATGCCCGTCCATTTTTTAAAAGTTGGCATTAAATAAAGAAGAAACAACACGGCTTCCCATGGAAAATGCCGATCCCTTTCTTAGTCAGGGCTTGACATGAGACCCTACCTTGCGCAAACATAGCACTTGTGGAATACCTGGAAGATCGTGTCCCTCTTGTAGGAGCCCCCGGTGCCATGGCAATATGGGAGTGAGGGTACCACCTGGATCGCCAGTGGCGTTTTCGTTTTTTTCCATGCACTTCACCATCCAAAAACCGATCGCAACAGAGACTGAAAGAAGCGATCGCTGGGCGATTTCTAGGCAACTAAAAAAGGATCCTGGATAGCCAAGTTGCGATCGCTTTTTTCAGTCACTGTTGCGATCGGTTTTTGGATGGTAAAGTGGATGGAAAACAGCGATCGCAACTGGCGATCCAGGAAGCCAGTCACAAAATGAGAAGTCAGGTGCAGATCAAGGGCGCGAGTGGAAAAAGACGCTTAAAACCCCCCTTTTTTTGACCGATGGAGAAGCCACTCCACGAAGAGGTCTCGCCGACAGCATAGCCTAAAAAAAAGGTGGGTATTGCCTGAAAAGCTGGGCCGCAGATTTTCACAAACCCCGTGCAGTTTATTCATAGGGGGGTGTCCCTGGTTTCCTGGTTTGAGTAAGGATTCCGGGGCCCCTTTTGCAGGTGCCCCATATGAAGAAACAGGGGTTACCGGCCCCTCTCACCCCATTTGCATACACGGTTGCGGGGCCAAAACCATCCCGCATATGAATAAACCGGGGTTGATGAGTGACAACATTGGACCCGGTTGAAAGATGTGCCTCTTGAAGTTCTCCCGTACCATCGAGTCTCAGACACGCCTGCGGTAAATAAAAGAAACACTCGTCATGTGTGTCATATATGGTACAGGATGAGTCGGCAAAAAGTTAAAGCCCTAACATCCAAGCAAAATGCAACAACGTTTTGGAGGTCCAACGAAAGGATTGCCATTGGCACGAGCGAAAAGGATGTCGAGCGGCAGCAATTACCGGGGGGCCCTGTGCTGAGGAAAGCTTGCGAGTCAAGGAGGCAGCCGCCGTGAACAAGAGCCCGCAGTCCGAGAGACGCATCTTGTGGATGGGAAACCCGAAGCCGCCCTCAAACCGCACAGCGGAAACCACGAGGAAACCACCAGGTTTCTTGGTATTTTGGTAGTTGAGCAATCAATTTCGCCATGGGAAAGACCACGTTTCTTGGTATTTTAGTAGAGGCTTGACAAATCATCGCCTGAAGAAAGTGGGCTCATAACGTTTGTTTGGCATTTGCGTTGGGATCGAATCATTCCGTAGGTGCGACACGGATTTCGCAACCATGATTCAACCCTGCTGGTTTCCTTCAAGGGAGAGGGGGGTAAAGGAGCACTTGTATGGTTCACGTGCAGCTCAAGAACAAGCGGGCGGCCTCAAATCAACCGAACCAAAGTGGTGAACGACTTCTCCAAGCACTCCATGTAACCCCTGGTTATTGGGTGAGTGCCCTTTTTTGTGGGGGTTGATAATTTTTGGAGCGGATTTGGTTGCGAGTAGTAGGGCAATGTCCCGTTGGGCTGTTTGTTTTGCCACATTCGGAGCTGTGTGGGCATGGAATTCCCATGCTTGTACGACCTTCTAAATCGAAGTGGGCTACAACCAGCGTTACCAAGCCTCAACAGTCCCCGGTACGTGGCCAGCCACCAACTTCCGGGGCGCTTCCGGGCCTTTGGACCTGGCCGTCTGATCCCAAAGGCACCGAGCGGTCGCGGGTGGGAAAAAATCGGCGCGAAGCCGACGAAAAGGGTCCAAGAGCCTAAGGAACCAAGCGCCCACAGCCTCAAAGTGATGTGGTGGACGTCCCGTTTTTTTTTTCTCCCTAAAAAATATATATATAAAAAAAAAAAAAAAACAAATGGGGACCTAGAAATCGCCAAGTTGCGATCGCTTTTTTTTTCAGTCACTGTTGCGATCGGTTTTTGGGGTAAAGTGAATGGCAAAAAAAAAGCAACCGGCGATCCAGGTAGTTTGCGGGTCCAGGTAGATGAAGCACCCAGTCCCTTCAAGACAGCACATGTCTGGCGAAAGTTCTGAGGCTTGATGGCCCTGACCAATGTCATCATGTCCCTGTCGCGGGAAGAGAGGCGCCGTCCGACGAGCCACAACGGACCCGCTAGCCAAAGACCATGTGCGTGTGTGTGTGTGTGTGTGTGTGCGGAGTGGCAGAAAACCCTGCCACCAAAACCTTTTTCTGTTGCAGCAGGGGGGCAAGGCCTCCAGTGATGAACCTTGCCCAACGAAGCTGCATCACTGGAGGGGATGCAAGGCCTGATCAGCCTTGTGTACCTGCACTCTTGAGTGATTCTGAAAGTCTATTTGGCCCTCTTCTTTCTCTCGCTGTGTGTGCTTCATGTTGAATCTTGTAACGCTTTCGTCACTAGAGGGAAGCCGAGTGCATCGCGAGCCGAAACTTATCTTACTCGAGACTTATCAGTTGTACTCGAGACTCATCAGTTGTACTCGAAAGATTAGCACTCTCCATCTGGAGTTCAAGTGTGTACACCCCATTCGTGGGGAATCCTCGGGTGTACCCATTGTGTGACCCCGGGCCGGCTCTGTCGGAAAATTTGACCTCAACGTGCTTATCATAGAACAGCGGAATTTCACATTTAACCAGGAACGAGGTTTCACTAAAGGGAAGACAGCGATCAGACCATAGTGACGTCTCACCACAGCTGCTGGCTGCCGACTTTCATTGCATTTGCTTACCATTGGTTGAACTTGTTGCTCATAGCGGTTGAAGATTGCTGACTTGTATTTGCTTTGCCTTGTACATGTCGACTTACCTTTTGTCGGATCCATTTCATCGACCATTGCAGCTGGGGGCCGTTGACTTGTATTTGCATTGATTTGAATGTTGTCGGATCCGTTTCTCTCAAGGTGGAAGTGTGAAGATTCAGAGTCGGTTGCGTCACCATGTCTCGACGTGATGATCGTGATAGATCCAGGACTCGGCGCAGACGTGATCGAAGTCCGTCCCCTCAAGCTCGCAAAGCACGCCGACGTGAACACAATGACAGCCAGGTCTCGGAGAACATGGATTGGAACAACTTGGTTTCATGGCAACACAACTCCGGCTACAACGCTGCCAACAACTTTCCGATGATACCTACCAACTTTCAATCGACTCACAATCCCACACAACAATTCCAACACCCAGCGATCAACTACATGATGCCGATCCCTCCAGACCCCACGCCAACCAAGTTCATGCCACCCGTGATGCCACCACCGGTTACTACTTCCCAACCTACACCGTCACCTGGACCTCCTGCGGCTCTACCGGTTCGTCCTCAGAAAGCCTGGCTTACTCCCTCGCCTGACTGGACACCTGGAGATGGCATGTTTGATGTCAATCAGCTCTACAACTTCAGCCTGCCCATGACTGTTGCCAACACTCCGCATGGCAACCTTCGCGACATGTCAGGCATGGATATTAGGGACGTACGCCTGGTTCAGGTTATCCACGGGGGCCTCACCAACTGGCTACTCAGGCCGTTTGCACACGGCAGATTCGTGACGTGGGAAGGCTTTCGCACCCGCACCGAGGCCTTACTTTGGAGTACCTGTTCCAAACTACTACGAAGATCACAGTCACTCAACCTGCTCACCCTGGAAAAGGACCTTGCCAACACGCTGGGTCTCAACATCGATGACTTCAATCAGCGCATCAAGGTCCACGACCATTTGGCCAGCTTGGTACTTCAATTTCTTCAGCAACATCACACCTCTCTCGCACCTGCCACCCAGACAGATGACATGGTCAAAAAGTTCAATGATCTAAATCGTGCGCACGAACTTCTCCAAGCTCAGTATTCCGCATCGCTTCGCGCATCGACCTCTCCCACGATGACAAACCAGAAGGATGATGCAGAGTTGGTTACACCGCCACCGGTCAACCACACACCATCCTCGTCACCTGCCAGCTCCCTTCCTACAGCCAGCGCAGCCGCCCTGGATGGCAAGTCGTTTGATAGCGTGGTGCAACCTCGGATCATTCAGTCTCTTCACGGAGTGTCGTCACCGCCGTCCAAACCGGCGGCGTCACAATTGCTCACCATGCACAGCACGCCGGATGAAGTTGTCAAGTACTACACATGGACCAGTGACCAACCTCGCCTTTATCTCAAGCAATCACCCACAACAACCACTTTGGCATCGCTGGTTAAGTGGGCCAATCACCCGACCCGGCTCAACGGCAACAAGTCATTAGATTCTATGGCGACGCAGCTCCTTCAGGCGCGGCAACGCATGCCGAAAGGCGACGCACCCACGCTCGGGGCGATGGCGGCTTCGTGGGGACTAGAGCCCGGCTATCTTACCAAACTCACTGAGAAGGCATTGAGTCACCTCATCGTGACCGCTCGCCTACTCTGTGGATGAGAAGGCATCATGATGACCTTCGTTCTCATATGAGCCCGGAGCGGCAACAATGTCACGGATGAGTCCAGGTGAAAACTCGTCCGTCAAGTGTCTGCGTTGCACCAGATTGATCTTGTACTTGCTCGTTCTTGCATTGCCTCTTGTGTGATTGTCTGTGATGCTTGTATTCATGTCGCCGCCTTGTGGTAGATTTCATTGGTTGTATCTCACCATGTTGGATGAACTTCGCCGCTGCGGAATCTATGATGATGTTGCACAATGGCAGTCGCTGGACGACCTTCTACACTCGTTGACCATGTTCTCTACGTGCTGGCAGTACTGTTTTCCTGGACTACCACCACCGTCGATTCCAACTGAGGAGTACGAATCCATCACACAATTGCCGTGGCTGGGTCTCATCCTCGAAGTCTTAGTTGTGATCCGGATAGCCCTTCAGATTCCGAATCACGCTATGTCACACTCTCAGCACACCGTGGCCAACAGGTATGAGCTTCACAGATGTCGGTGCGCTGCCTATTTATTGATTAGTTTCTTACAACGTCTCATTTCACAAGATCACGGCTACTTCCCGCCGTTCTTTGAAGTCCTTCACTTCTACAAGACTTCTCTCTTGTGTGAAATCATGCACTCTACTTTTGCTGACACGCGACATCTACGCTCATTGCGGGCGCGATTTCCTGACCTCTATGACTTCATACACGATCCAGGTCATCATCAACAACCGTGCGTCTACATTCGACTTTCCCCATGGCACACACCATACTATGTTGGGGCGACTGATCAGGATGTTCTACGTCGTGAACACTCACGCAGTCGCAAATTTCTACAACTACTTCGTGGACGGCATGCCTTCTTTGAACCAGCGCTTCACTACTGGAAGAGATCCAATACTTACTGGCTCTTCTGTGCTGTTCCAGTGGAAATCAAACTTCCTGTTTCCTCGGTGTGGGTTCAAGAAAGCAAATGGCAATACCTGCTACGCCCGCATTTGAATGCGCCCTGGGTACACAGAATCTTGCGCAAGGTGGGCTTCCGGGAACATCTTGTGGATTTTCGACGTCACTCGTTGTCGTCTCCCACTTCCCTCGGCTTGCACAAGCGCTTTCGACGACGACTACATCCGGATCTCCAACGGCAACTACGACCTGACATCCTGGATGACATTCAAGCCCATTACTCGATTCTCTATCAGCTGGGATCGAATACAGGAGCGTCGTTCCAAGTCATGCGTGACCTACTGTCGGCGGCTTTCCCTCCCACTCAGCTGTACTACTTAGTCTTTGTCAACGAGCCCTTCCGCTCCAAGGCGCAAAAACTCCTCGCCCAGGTGCTGCGCAAACGACGGCTACAACCACCCACCACTTTGACACAGCTACTCTTACCGCCGCTACATGTCCGGAATTGGAAAGCTCTACTTGGCACATGGCTACAAAGCTGGATTGCTTCTCATCGGGATCTGTTCCCTTCTCTTTTCATTCCGAAGATCCGGGTGGTGGAAACTCGCAGCGCCACATTGGGCGACAAGATATACAACTACCGCACATGGCAGCGCAGATGGACTCCTGAATCATCCTTTCCGTGTCGCTGTTTGGACATCGATGATCACCATTTACACCGTGCACATGGTCACGCTGTAATGGTGGATGAGTTTTCTCGCATCAATGCGGACATTGACGTTGAAATCATGGCCGCCTCAATGAAGGATCAGTTTTTCGGTGATGTCGACTTATTGCATCAACGTTTCACTACACAACTTCGCAAACTTGCTCGCCGCTGGCATGTACATGGTTCCAGTCTCCTTTCAGATCTACAGCCGGTTGTGACTCAGTTAATGGACACTCATCGGATGAACCTCCAAGATCGGGCTTATTGGTCATCGACATCGTTGCAGCGCACTGTGGCTTCTTTGTCTTCGTGGGTTGTTATCCCAGCGGATCATTTTCCCTCCCGCGCACATGTGATTTGTCCGTCCCTGTTTGCCATACTGATGCGGAAGACATTCTGCTCGGGGGATGTCTTCTCACTTTGCCGCGAATCCGCAGCATCCTTTCGCTCTGAAGTGGTAACCACGGTACCTTCTCTCCTACGTCAACGATATGCATGGGGACTTCGACTTCAAGCACCGTTGCCCACAGCGCGCATCCTCCCAAAGCCGACCAAGGACTGGCAGAAAGCTCGACCCATCATTTCATTCTTTCGCACATGGGCAGCTCCCTTCCTCACGGTCTTCGGTGCACTCATATTTGAACTTACCAAGGCTGCCTTCCCCGACATTGCAGGTCAACTTCCAGTACAAGAACTTGTCCAGCAGCTGTGGGAAGCGCTGTCAAAAGCAGACCCTGATGAGTACATCCACCTGGTGTCGCAAGACCTGTCAGGCTTCTTCACGTCCATTCCTACGGAACGATTCCACCAGGCGCTTCAAGTGCTTCTCCATCGATACGATCAAGTTGTTGGCCTTCGCAGTTCCTCGCAATGGTCCGTGTACGAAGTAAAGTCAGATCATCGACGCCGTATGTTCAAAGGAAAGTGGCGCCGTCAAACCAAGATCCCTCGAATTTTTCGTGAACAAGATCTCCGGCACCTTCTGGACTTTGTCATTGACAACAGTCACTTCGAGATCAACGGATACTTGTTCCGCCAAGAACGAGGAGTCGCTATGGGATCACCAGCCGCGCCACCGTTGTGCAATTTGGTTGCT